ATCTCTTTGTGCTGAATCTCTGCTATTTCCCAGGGATTTAACCCCCCCCCCCCCTTTCTGAAATGACCACCAGTCCAGGCACAGGCTCTATGGCTGTGTCATTCCTGTTCCTTCTGCCCATCATGCCATCCAGTGCAGTAGCTGTCCAATGAGAGCTTTAGTTCTATAGCTATAAGGAACTAGATTTTTTTCAACAAGTGGATAAACTTGGAAGAATGCTTCCCAAGATCTCCAGAGAAGAGATGAACTCATCCAGCTGGATGAGTTCTTGGTTCTGGTGTTGTGAGATCCTGAGTAAAGAACTTAGGTGTGTCATACCAGATTTCAGCCCGATGAAAATGTGAGTTAATAAGCTGGGGGTGTTTTAAGTAGAAGATTTGACTTAATATGCTCCAGAGAAAAATATGACAATAAAGTTTGGGTAGAAAGGGACCAGGGGACACTACAATACTATGGCAAAGAACCTGATCAGTGGAAACACGAAGTTAACTCTTATTCTCTATGCCTGCCATCTTCCTCGTAGACACCAGGCCACACCGAAGGAGATCAGCATCATCTCACCTTCAGTCAACAAGTTCTGTCTCATATCCATCCAAACATCTCTCCTCTTTTATATTCTCATCAAGCGGTCTTATTTTGAAAGCCTCATTATGTCTTGATTAAATTACCCGAAGACGCTTCTAACTTGGGTCTTTACTTAATTCTCCACATTACTTTTGTTTTGAACTTTCTGGATCTTTAATTTGATTATGGCACCCTTCTGTTTCAACTCCTTCAAGGACATGCTATGGCATTTAGAAGGAAATTCAGATTCCTTTTCATAGTATTTCTAGCTCAGCGTTTTCTTATACTTATTTTTGGTGTTTGTCATGCTAACTTACTTGCTTTTATTACGATGAAATACGCTTTTCACTACTCTATACTTGAAAAACCATGCCAATTCTGTCTGCAAAATTTATATTAACCTTTTATTACAGATTCAATTTCATTCTATTCAATTCTATTATGAGCTCTTCCAAAAATATTGTATACAGTTAGATGCTGACATTTCTTTTTTATGTTTTTTTTTATTGTAAAAGTACTGTACAGAGGGGTTACAGTTACATGAGTAAGGTAATGAGTCCATTTCCTATCGAGCATTGTTACTTCTTCCTTTGTGTTTCCCCTACCATCCTTTCCCTCCCCACCTCCCCAACTCTCCCCTTTCCCCGCCGAGTTGTAAAGTTCGTTTTCAACATAGTGTCTTGTACATCTCAGATGCTGACATTTCTATCACAGATTCTTCTTCATTCTTTGATGGTTGTTCTAAGGATTTTTACCACTTACCACTAAAAGTCCTTGACAACTAGTTTCCCAACCTGCTAGAGCCTCTGGATTTGGACCATGGTCACATTGATCTGTATCAGATAGTGACCAGTGTAGGGCCAAAAATATAAATTGCTCTTTAGCTTTGCTTTAGGGTAAGGTCAGCATTGGAGTAAAGATGAAACAATTTGCATAGGAAACTCAGAGCTGCCTGTGGAAGATGGTCCAATTTCTCATTAAAAGTTGAGTTTGTAAGCTTAACCTGAAGGAAGTGAAATGACTGGGAAGTGTAGCCATGCATTCCCCATGATGCTGCTTAGGTTCTAGAGGGACAGACGCGATGTGAAAAGGTAATGGCGATTCTGGTGTGTTAGGTGCTGGCTTATGTAGGACCCGAGTTTACACCCTGGAAAGTGGCTGTGTGGGACAGAACGGGCACTAAGCCAGACCTGTGGTAGCTTGACACAGCTTCTTGATGGGCCATGGCCATTGGAGAACATCACCACCAACATCATAGCGAAGAGGACTCTGTCCAAATTCAGAAAGCTCGTGGAAAATTGAGTTGCTGCTACCCCTAATTGGCATTTTTATTGCAGAAAGTGATTCTTCCACCTGCAACAATTGTTTTTCTATGTTGCGCAAATATTTCCCATCTCTATAGCTTCTGAGGTGAGAGGCATCAGAACTTATTCCACTCATGTAGCTTCACCACTATATTAGTGGCTCTAGGAGGGCATGGGAAGAGATCTGAGGTGAAGGCTAGGCCGGGGTGCTTCTTAATGAGGGAACACGTGGAGACCATGCAGGCCTCTTACAGAGCTATTATTGCTTTGGCAGCTAGTAGTCTAAGGACTGGGACCAGATTCAACTTCTTGGTCAGGGCAGTTATTCTATGTTGGAGGTAGAATGATAGGATGAACTTACTCAGCTAGCAGCATATTGGTGTGCAAGCATGGTGCTCCGAGAGCCAACTATTGCTTACTCTTTGGACTGCAAACTGCTATTTAATATCATTTTCTTATTGAAGTTTAGTTAAACAGAAAAACAAGTTGATCTGCCTAAGTTATTTGTCTAATCAGCCACAACCCAGAGAACTGAATCATGCCGGGATGGGATTTTTTTGGTTCTGAAGGAGCCAGGCTGAGCAGAGGCTGTAACAGATGTCCACAGTTACACAATATATTATGTCTATTATACTGCATACTATCCACAGCTTTACCTGTTTGTCTTTCCAACCATCCAACATGTTTTAATGCCTTACTCATTTTCTTCATTTCCAGAGTGTAGCTCATTCACCATAAGCAATCCCATAATTGTTAAAATCATTTTAAGGTATATTTTTATTTTCTGCATTTTCATCTATCTTATTATCATATTTGGTTTTATATTTGTGTGTGTGTGTGTGTGTGTGTGTGTGTGTGTGCCCGTGTGTATGGTTGTACTGACGACTTGAACTGAGGGCCTGGTGCTTGCTAAATAAGTGCTCTACCATTTGAAGTATTCCACCAACCCTTTGGCTTTTAGTCTTTCAAAGAGACTCTTTAGCTTTTTTTTCTTCTTTAGAACATAATCCTTCTATTTCTGCCTTTAAGTACCTGGTGTTAGGGGACTGAAGTACCATGCGTGACCCTGGCCTTACACAGCTCATTAAGTATGCTACTTAATTACGTTACTTTGATACTTGAGAAAAATATTTATTGAAAATTTGCTGATAACATGATTTTACCTAAATAAATAAGGTCCCTAATAGATATAATGAAACACTTCTCTAGCAACACATTTAACATAACATTTTTTGTCTCCAAGTCAAAAAATTATCTAAAAATACAAAACTTTTCTCCATAGAAAATAAGAAAAAAATGAGATTTTAATCACCAGCAGATCACAGGTCAAAAGATTCATTTGTATCAATAATGCAATACAATCATCAATAAAGTGACTAAAATTTTAATTTTTATTAATTTCATTATGATTCCCCATTAATCCCATTAAGGAATTAGTAATTGGAAAAATAAAAGAAAGGATACTACATTGTACTACATTGTTGAATTTGGACTATTATTCTCATTTTAAAATTTTACTACAAATGGCAATGAACAGTTTTGTATAGCTTTTTCTCTCTCATTCCAAGCAAAATTATGCAAAGTTAAAGACTTTGAAACATTTAGAAACATGATTTAATGTATCCAATTCTGCAAGTGGAAAGGTAGCCTATTAATTTTTCCTTGGGGGTTTATTAACTCAAGGTGCATAACAGTCTTAGTTAGAAAAGCATCCATTATGGGTAAAATAGTAATTTTTTCTTCTTCTAACAAGTGAGAGTATATGCAACCATTATTAATGAACAATGCTGAAGCATTCCCAGCATGAAAATATTTAACAACTCTTCGAGGATAAGCAAGAATCCTTTTTTCTCTTCATGTCTGACGGAGCTTTGCAAAGAATCATGCATGGTGCAGGTATACAACAAATGCCTTTATAAACAACTGAATCAATATATCCAGAAGCAAAAAGCAATAGTGCTAGAATATGCTGAAAACAAACCTCATTTAAAAAAAGTGTCTTGGGTGTTTGAGAGGCTGAGAGTAAATTAAAACAAAATAGTTTGTAAGTATAAAAAACTAGTTGTTTCATTAACCCTCATTTGGAAAATGATTACTTTCCTCAAAACCAGTATTAAAATTTTTTTCTTTTCTTGGATGGAAATTTTTTTTTAATTTAATTTTATTTTATTTGAGAACATACTGTACAGAGGGGTTACAATTACATGGGCAGGATAATGCATACATTTCTTACCAAGCATTGCAGCCTCCTCCTTTGTTTACCCTTCACCTCCCTTCCCAGTCTCCCCCCCCCCCCCTGCCCAATCCTTCCTCCCCACCCCCACCGACATTGTAAAGCTCATTTTTGACATGACATTTTGTACTTCTCATTGTTGCAACAGGTCCACCTGAATCCTTAAAGACTTGTTTGTCCCCATCTCCTCCACAAGTTATACTGACATCAAATATAGTGAAAGCGGGGGTTACACTGTGGGGGAGGGACATACAAAGCAACAAAGAAATAATCTTATAAATGCGTTAGAAACACATGCATGAAAGAAACAAAAACATTAAAATACATATTTAAGGGTTCGTTTTCCTAACATCACATTATCTGACCTTTTCCGCTTGACTCATACATATACTAGATATTGCAAATAAGGGAAACCATGGGACCTATGTTTCTTTGGGCCTGGCTTACTTCACTTAATATAATTTTTTCCAAGCCTTTCCATTTCCTAACAAATGGGGAAATGTCATTCTTTCTGATGGAGGCATAGAATTCCATTGTGTATATAGACCACATTTTCTCGATCCATTCATCTACTGAGGGGCATCTGGGTTGGTTCCATATCTTGGATGGAAATTTTGAGTGCCAAGTCTCAGTGATGACTATGACACTTTCATTCCAGCAAAAAGACTATCCTAAAGAAGAAGCCAATATCAGGAGACAATGTTGTCTCTTTTGCAAAGAGCTAAACTTCAGAAAACAATGCTAATACAAATTTTAAAGAACTCCAACTTTTTCTTTCTGGGTGTGCTGATACCTGGGTTAGAATGGGGATCTGGGTGTTGTCTCTGAGCTTTTTTGCTCAAGACCAGTGCTCTATCACCTGAACCATGACTCTACTTATGTAGTTAATTGGAGAAAAGAGAATCACATACTTTCCTGCCTGGGCTAGCTTCAAATCTGGATCCTTAGATCTCAGCCTCCCAAGTAAGCAGGAGTTATAGATGTAAGCCACTAAGCCACAGCTGAAGAACCCTGATTTTTTAAAAAAAATTAAGTAGTTTTAAAGCTGCTGGATGAAGTATGTTTTCCATCAAGTTTGATTATACAGCATCTTTTCATGGTCCACACTAATATCCTGAACATTCTGCTTGCTTGGCACTATTGCCCTCACATTATCCTGTATTCAAAGGAGATGAGCATTGTCTTTCAGTGTGTGTAATACTTCTCCCCCAGGTATTCAGCCTTTCTTCCCCCTTCTCCTGATCAAGAAACTCAGATGCAATATTCAACACTTAAAAACCATCCAATATTGTACTTGGAGTTTCCAAGGTCAATGTATGTGGTAGCTTGACACTGAGAATCTGCAATATGTAGATTTTTTGAAAACACAAAAAAGATGTTTTATACACTTGCTGTCTCCAAGTGAATGTGCGTGCATGTACAATTTAAGGTACAAAAGCTTAGGAAAATATTGCTATTGTCACACTTGATTGCTTTTAGACACAGCTTGAAGTTCTTAAAGAATAGATATTAAAGAGGAGTTTTCAAAAGGTATAAAAAACCCACTCATTGAGGTATTCAATAAATATTCATAGCATAGCAGGTACATTGAAGGTTACAAAGATGTATAACATATCCTATTGACCGTGTGAGTAGCATTTCCTAGGGGGCTTTCCCAGCAAAGCAGAAATAAAGAGGATTGGTTATTGTGAATGGCAATAAAAGTTATTCTTTATGTACAGCAGTAATACAAGCCGGCATGCTTTTAACAGCCTGTTCCCCAGGAGAAATATTATAGATTATTCACGGATAACCAGGGAGAATTTTAAAAATGACTCTTGTATGGCATATCTAAGCCTAATTTGATTGGAGATGGGTAATTTAAATACTAATGCTTTTGAACATTCCAAGTGAAATGAATAAGGCTGACTCAGTTACAGGAGGTCATCTGTTTTCCTGAGATTTAAAACAAAAAGTGATGAAAAGACAGGTCTCAAACCAAAGGTGGCCATAAAATGTCACATTGGTATCTCATGTTATAAAGGGGGAATTTGCAGATATAAGAAACCACTGTGTCTCTAATAAATAGCCTATGGAATTATGAGGACAAGAATAATAAGGTAGGTTGCTTAAGGGAAGCGTTAAGAAGCATTTTCTATGGAGACACATCATTTTCCAAACTGTGGGCTAGATTCTCAAGCAATTGAAGTAAAACTCCTGAGTATTTCATGGGATTGTTCTATAAAAATACAGTATTACTATCTGTCTACATTTTTTTTATTGTGAAAATACCATGCAGAAGGGTTACAATTACATGGGCAAGGTAATGAGTACATTTCTTATCAAGCATTGTTGCCTCCTCCTTTGTTTTCCCTTTCCATCCCCCTCTCCCTCCAAAGTTGTAAAGTTCATTTTTTGACATAAAGACTTGTACATCTCATTGTTGCAATGAGTCCACCTGTATCCCTATTTAAATGATTTCAAGCTGGATGGAAATGTGAATGGCATTGTACCACTTTATATCCTTTACATTTTCTGGGGAGGGGTGGGGGAAGAAAAGCAAACTTTTCTCAAGGTAGCATGGAAACTGAGACTCCTGCAATTTCACAGTCTTAAATACAAAGTCGTTCCTTCATACTTCTGCTTCCACTCGACCTATGATGGGATCGCATCCCATACTAATTGAGACACATCTTACATTGAAGATGAATTTGACATCCCCGGCTTCTTGACATCACAATTCAGCACTGCAGCATGCTAAAGAGTGTTGGTCATGTAGCTGAATGGGTGCTGCTGTTCACAGCTGATGCCCAGCATTGCGGGAGAGAATCACATAGCCCGCCCCTAGCCCAGAAGAAATCAGGCTCAAAATTTGAACTATGGTTTCTACTGAATGAATAGCTCTTTTGCAGCATCAGAGTAAAAATAAAAAGTCCTGTTGAAGTATCCTGGAAGATGCACCTAGAACCCATGCACCTGGAAGCTTCTTTCTCAGTCATCTTTCCTGTTTTCTGTAGACATGACACCCACATCTCCACAGGTACATCAAAACTTCCTGACTCCAATTTTATTTTATTTATTTATTTTTCCTGACTGTGTATCTCTCACTGTTTCTTAATTTCCAGAGATGGTTGGGGATGTTTACCTAATTCACATCTGTACCCATAGCACCCACTTCCAGGGGAAAGTCTTTTATTACCTCCTTGTCGCTGTGTTCACTGGACACTTTTCAGTTTGTATCTTAGATGGTCTCTGGGCCACTCCTCCATCCTTACTACAATTCACCACATTGGAGAAACTGTTCCTGAGAAAACTCTTTCTGAATTTGCATAGCAATTCCCTTTGCTTCTGTTTATTCCTTGTAGATTGATGTTCTGGCAGTCTCCATGCTGTTCAGAATCTCCACCCCCTCCCCAATCTTATTCTTTGTCCAAACTACCACCTAATATGTTGCTGTACTTTATAGAGCTGCATCTATATCCAAAAATCACCTACCTTAAGCCTCAGATCCATATAATCAACCCCTGCATGGGTTTTTCTCTTGAAAATCTCTCAGACACTTTGAACTGAATATGCTTGAACAATCACACCACAAGTCATGCTCAGTCCACAAACAGGAAGGGATGGTCCATAATCAAGTATATCAGCAAAACTGTTTTAAATGTCTTATAGATTATAGATTTGTGGACATAAAAGACAAGATCCATGCTATCACTGTGCTAGTGTAAGATCATACAGTCTTATGTTTGAATTACTGTACTGTCCTGCTATCTGTCTCTCTGTAATTCCACCTGCCTTTCAAGCAGATTGGAATTCCATATTGGAATTAGCATGGCCTCTCAAATGGAATCTTACGGTCAGTCCCCTTGTTCAAATCTTACAATGGCTTCCATTTTAAAGTCCAAAGCCTTTGAAATGTCTCATTTTGTAGTTCATGGCAATGTGTACTTTTTCTCTTTTGTCTCATCCAACATCCTTCCTTGTTGGCTCACTGCTCCTCAGTTATAGCAAACCTTTCAAGTTTTGTAAATGTACCATATCAATTGTGGGTCTCTTTACTAGGCTCTTCCTTCTGTATAAATGTTCTTTTCCTCATCACTTGCCTGATTATTTCACTGTGTAGCATGATCATTTATTCTACTCAGAAGCCCTGATGAATGTTGATAGCCCACTCTTGTTCTAACATCACAATTACAATTGCTTAGTCAAGTATCTGCTATGGTGAATACACATAGCATGTGTCTACTGTATTCCATGTTGTAGTTTCACATATTCTCAATGGAAGGCGTGTGGAAAGAACACTCACTTCTGGATAACCTGCCAGATGGAATGCAAGTATTTCTTTACTTTCTACTGAAATGTCATAAAAGTGCCACAAAATAAAGAGGATGGATAAGGAGATGAAGTCTTTTGGGAAAGAAAAATAAAAAGATAAAAGGAGGGCAAATTAGTGGCAATTTATCTAGCAGAATGGAGAAGCTGAAGCCTAATTTATAGCACTGTGTGGGGAATACAATAGGAAGCAAGCTGCCCTCATCCCAAAACCAGGCAGGGACTCATCAAAGAAAGAGAACTATAGACCCATTTCTTTGATGAACATCGATGCAAAATTTTTCAACAAAATTTTGGCCAATCAACTTCAACAATTCATCCAAAAAATGATACACTACAATCAAACAAGATTCATTTCAGGGATGCAAAGCTATTTCAATATACTCAAATCAATTAATATACTTTATCATATCAACAAGAGCAAGGATAAGAACCACATGGTTATCTCAATAGATGCAGAAAAAGCATTTGACAAGATCCAACACCTCTTTATGATGAAGGTTCTGGAAAAACTAGGAATCCATGGAACATTCTTCAATACAATAAAGGTTGTATATGACAAACCTACAGCCAGCATTATACTTAATGGTAAAAAACTACAGTCATTTCCTCTAAACTCAGGAAGGAGACAAGGATGTCCACTCTCTCCACTTCACTTCAATTTACTATTAGAATGCCTAGCTGCAGCAATAAGACAAGATGCAAACATAAAGGGGATCCAAATAGGGAAAGATGAAATAAAACTCTCCCTCGTTGCAGATGACATGATCTTGTATTTAAAGAATCCCAAGGACTCCACTACCAAATTACTCAAGCTGATTTGAAACTTTGGCAAAATAGCAGGGTATAAAATTAACCCTTAAAAATCAATGGCTTTTCTGTATGCCAACAATGAGAAGAGCACGGCTGAAATCAGGAAAGCAACTCCATTTGTAATAGCCCCGCAAAAAATAAATATCTAGTAATTAACCAAAGAAGTGAAGGAACTCTATGATGAAAACTTTAAAAACCTGAAAAAGGAAATCAAAGCAGAGCTTAGAAAGTGGAAAAACCTCCTATGCTCCTGGGTTGGAAGGATCAACATCGTGAAAATGACAATACTTTCCAAGGCTATCTACAAATTCAATGCGATACCTATCAATATTCCAACCTCATTCTTCAAGGAAATAGAAGAGATAATCCAAAAAGTCATATGGAACAATAAAAGACTCCAAATAGCAAAAATGATCCTTAACAGAAAGAGCAATGCTGGAGGAATATAAATACCAAATTTCAAACTCTACTACAAAGCCATAGTAATCAAAACAGCTTGGTACTGCCAAAGAACAGACCTCAGAACCAATGGAATAGAATTGAAAACCCAGAAATGAACCCACAGATCTATAGTCATCTAATCTTTGATAAGGGAGCTGAAAAATGCAATGGAAGAAAGACAGCCTCTTCAGTAAATGGTGCTGGCAAAATTGGTTAATAACTTGTAGAAAACTAAAGCTAGATCCTTCTATATCACCCTGCACCAGAATCAACTCCAAATGGATCAAAGACCTTGGAGTCAAAGCAGACACCCTGAAAACATTACAGGAAGGAATAGGAGAAATACTAGGTCTCCTTGGCACAGGTCAAAATTTTCTTAATAGAGACCCAGAAACACAATAAATCAAAGAAAGGTTGAACAAATGGTATTGCATGAAGTTGCAGAGCTTCTGCATGGCAAAGGACATAGCTAGCAAGATCAATAGAAAGCCCATAGATTGGGAGAAGATCTTCACTAGCCATACAATGGACAAGGGTCTCATATCTAAA